TTTGCTTGAAGGATTTCTGAAGTAAAACATGATGGCTCGGCATGAATTATACACCCGGCCGTGCAATGTAAAGCCGTTACATGAGCATGACTTTGACAAAACAGAACTAACTTATAATTAACATAATCAATTCAAAGGTAAGCTGGTGTTACCTCCTTGAACACTCGTCGATCGTTCTAATCGCTCGGAACCATCGGAACCTCCGCGCGTGCTAAGCTATGTTCTCGGCGTGGGGTGCTTTCTCCTCCAATATCACTAACTCTCTCAAACTCTCTTATAGGTATTAAAGGACTTAGTATATATTACTAGGAGGTGGAGAAAAATCGGACCAAACACCTCTTTTTATACTAAAAGCCGTGAGGAAAATGGATGATGTAATGAGGATGTGGCTTAATCCTTTCTTTCCACCTAGATGTTTACTCATCATCCCTAAAATTCTCTTAGCTTGACACGTGTAGGAGATGCTTGGAAGGAAAGAAAACCTTTCCCTTGGCTAAAGAATGCCCACGGCATTTGGAATCAATTGGAAAATTCATAATAACTCACGACATTTATTAGGCTTTAAGTGTGATTAATTTGCTAATTAATCACTAACTTATGTTTATTTATTTATTAAACATAATGCTTAATTACCAAAATTATTCTGAACGTAAACGGGACGTCGAAAATAATTTCGGGTAATCTCGACTGAAAATAATTAATTCCGAAAATTAATACTCGACAATATTAGTAAATCGAAATTAAAACATGATTTATATTAATAAACTGACGGGATATTACAATCCTCCCTCCTTAAAAATTTCCGTCCTCGGAAATTCAAAACGAACTGATTATATATGAACTATGTACATGGAATATAAAAATATGTACATCAAAACTGAAAATCTGGAAAATGAGCTCGAATATCAGCCTCTGCCTCCCAAGTAGCTCCGTTGCGATCCCACTGAATACGCACGAGGGGAACATCTCGCTTCCGGAGCCGACGAAATTGACGGTCCAGTACAGCTACCGGTCGCTCCTCGTACGATAAGTCTGGCTGAACCTGAATATCTGTATGAGGAATAACGTGATAGGGGTCGCACACGTACTTATGCAACATAGATGCGTGGAAAACATTATGAATGCCTGATAGCTCGGGAGGTAAGGCTAATCGATACGCGACTTCGCCTACTCGCTCGAGAAC